TAAACCCTAAACCCAGTAAACCCAAACTCTATAAAGGTTTAGGTACTTATTCTGAATGTCAACGTTGGCTCCGGCATCCAACCTTGACGTGCCGAGCATAAGAAGAAATAAAGTCTCAGGTTTTAGGGTTTTAGGCTTTTGGGTTCTAGGGTTTTAGGGTTTTAGGGTTTGGGGTTTAGGGTTTCAGGGTTTAGGGTTTGGGCATTGTAGTTCTGGTGATTCATTGGTATGTCTTCATTGAAGGGAAGCCAGGGGGCAACAAAAACGAGCAATTGTACATACCATAGGGGCCTAAACACGTACGCTACCATTTTAAAGTCTATTGAGGTACCCTCTACCATAACCCTAAACCCTAAGCAAGGAATCTGGAACCCAAAACATTGGTAATCTTTTGTCCTTATCGTACTGGTGCTTACTGAGAAGCAAGGGAATAAAATGCCTATATGATTCCTATAGAACCCCTGTATAACATATCTCCTTCTTCCATACTAACCCCCAGTATGTTATCTACATCAGCTAGAATCTAAACTCCTGGTATCCCCCCTTAATAACCACATAATAGTCCCCTATATAATCCCCTATACCCTAAACCCTAAGCCCAGGACTACAGCTCCCATGAAGGGGGCCTAGCGGCAGCATCTGAACAAAATCTTTATGACCAGCTCCAGCAGCCGCGAACAAAGCAGTGCCTCCAGATTCCACGGACAAACCAGTGCCTCCAGATTCCACTTGTATGTCCTTGTCAGGGTTTAGGGCTTAGGGTTTAGGAGTAGTAATAGTAAGAACCTATGTAGCATATCATGGGTTTCTATACTAGGAATGTACTAGGAATTAGCTGTATTGGACCTTGTCAACCCAAGAACCGATATTTTCATGTATATATAAATATACATATATATATATATGTCTATATAATTATTATAATTGTAAAAAGGGTTTGGCGCGTAAATAGACTGTCTGGAATTACGGGCTAGGTGAGCCAATCCTTCAATAGCGCTCACAAGGAGAATGGTAACCTGTTTAGTCTCTTTGTCTGGCTTATCTGTGATGCTGGGTGAGGGCCCTAGCCCGAACTGCAGAACCCTAAACCCTAAACCCTAAGCCCTAAACCTCGTCCTTGTCAACACCAGCCTCCAACAGGACTCGTGCAGTCTCCACATGGCCGTTCTTTGCCGCCGAGATGAGAGCCCATCCCGCGCACTCACCCGTCAAGTCCTCTATTTCAAGGGTTTCAGGCTGGTACCCCTAGGGTTGTATAGCAGAAGATCCCTCGAGAAGCAACTACACACAAAATTTGTCAACATACAAAACCAACAAACTGCTAAAGCCTAAGCCCGAAACCCTATGCAAAAAAGCTAGGCACCCAAACTAGCCCTAAACCATACCTTGGACCAAAAGACAAACAGTTCTAGGATCCCATGATATAAATTCTCGTATGCGACCTCACAAACCAAGGTTTGACTGGAGAAAACCCTACACCCTAAAATGCTACCCCCCAAACCCTCAACCCCAAATGAGCCATAGTTGAAACTCGTATTATGCCACTTCATAACCCCTATAGTAGTCCCCTATGTGATCCCCTTTATAACCCCGGTCAGGGAGTTCAGACCCTAAACCCTAGACCTTCAACCCTAAACCTTAAACCCTAAACCCTTAACCCTGAACCTTCAACCCTAAACCTTAAACTCTAAACGCCAAAATCGTGTCAGTCCTGCTTGGCACCAACCTCCAGAAGCAATCGCACGATCTCCGTGCGACCATTTTCAGCAGCGGCCTGGAGGGCTGTGCGGCCTTTCCTGGGCTTAGGCTTTATTTAGGGTTTAGGTATTAGGGTATATAGGGTTCAGGGTATATAGGGCTTAGGATTTCAGGTATTAGGGTTTAGAGTTTGGGATTTTAAGTTAAAATACACGCCCAAGCATCCAAATATCGGGGTTTTAGGCCCCAAATACTACAATCTGAATGGTTTTACCGTACTTTGCACCTCAAAAGCTGGGTGTTTGGACTGTTTTTTTGAACGGAGGCGCGCGGAGCGTAGGGTTTGGGCTTGGGGTTTGGGGTTTAGGATTTAGGGTTGGGGTTAACGGCACCATAATGGAAGAGCAAACGGACAAGAAAGATGGCAAATTAAATGGAAACTGTGGCCACATCCAAATTCTAGGAAACCATAAGTTAGAGAGTCATAACATGGCTATATAGGCCGTGAGATGGTCGTCATCATGAGTAAACCCTATACGTAACTACTTGAAATGCGTATACATATATACATATCCATATTGTGTCCCTCAACCCTGAACTGAACTCCCTCAGCCCTAACCCAGTTATGGTAACTTAGTGCAAACTCCATCACAGCAATCCAGCTTCTGATCCTGCACCGCTTTGTCAGCACCTAGCTATGGTGAATGCAGGCAATCTTGAACCACCCCTATGTTAACCAATAATACCATGAACCACAGAAACCCCGCACCCCCTGTTTAACATTGGGGCTACCACAAATTGAGGTGGTGACTGTCTCTACCAATGTTAAAAGGTGGCTGCGGGGATTTGAGGTTTAGCAGAGCAGTAAAGTGGTGCAAGATTTCCTCCTTCAACAGTACTCTCTGTTGCGCGGTGTATGTCGTTCATGGAGCCACGGGGTCTACACTTTAAAACTCCAATATGCGCATACCATATGAGCTATAATCTAAACTCCTAGTATCCCCCTTAATAGCCCTTATAATACTCCACTATATAATTCCTATATAACCCCCTTTAAGGAGTTTAGACAATAGCTCATATGCGGCTTAGGTCGTAGATAGGTAAAGCCCAATAAGGTCAGAGCTACTGATGCCATGACCTGTGGGAACATCGCCATCTGGTTGTATTCCTTGTTCAAAACCACCAACCGTGTGGGTCTGCACAGTAAATGCTGGCAAACCAGTGGGAAAATCACCATCTAGCATCACCATTTAGCTTAGTATAACGCTCAAAACTATTTATTTGGCTATGGTTGTTGTTGAAAACATGAAATCAGCAAAATCTTGGTTTCCCACAGTTTTGGTAGCGTTGACTGTAGCGTTGACTGAGATTTGACTCTGCAAGCCCACGCGATTTTAGGTTTTCAGTGAGTGTCGTAGCCGACTACCCATTTTCCCACAACTTTGGTAGTCTTGACTGAGCGCCAGATTAACATTGATCTCCGGCAGAGATGTTCGCCACAAGTGCCTGTGGTCCAATATATTTTCGCAGCTTAGACCCTGACAGTATTAAGAAGCATGGGCACAATCCCAGATGGGGGCTTCCTAAAATGAGGGGTGCCCTTTGAAGGGCTTCATAGGGGTTATATGGGGGCATATACAGGGAGATTCTGGGTTTAGGGTTTTGGGCTTCTCAAAAATTGGGGATGCCTTTTTGGAGGTCCCCATAATGAGGATTTTCCGAAGTTGGGGTCTACTCTGGGATCCCCTTATATGTGGCAATTACCAAATGGGCAACTGCTTGTGACCCTAGCTTGCAGCATTATCATAGAGCTGTCGACTTAGATCGGCACCAGCTTCCAGCAACAACCGCGCAACCTCCACATGGCCACAAAGTGCTGCGCAACAGAGAGCGTTGCGGCCATAGTCGTCAAGGTGGTCCTTGTCAGCACCTGGGCGCTTCTCACAAAACATGGATGCTGTCATTTTTTGGGGGGGCTCTACAGCAAGAACCGCATAAGTTGGGTTTCCCCACCTGCATCCACCAGCATCCTTGCAACCTCGATGAGGCCATGCTTGCAGGCTTCAACAAGCTCATCGCTGGACTCAAACCGCTGAAAATCAGTGGAAACGGGCAGCAGGACGAGCTGGAGGTCGATGGGCGCATTCAGCACGTTGTCATCCTCCAAACTGCGTCCATTGTGCAAAAGCTGTTGCAGGGAGAGGGGTATGCTGTACCTGTTGCGCAACAGCCGCTTTAGTCTCCGAACGTCCGCAACCTCCTCCGTCCCAATCGTAGCAAACTCTTCCCCTGACATTTTCGAGACATGAATCATAACCTGCTGGCTACACAAAAATGCGCAGGCTTCCGCATTGAAAGAACGGGAACTGTGCTGCAGACTGCATGCTTTGTTGCAAGCTTGAGCACGGTAAATGGCTGCTCTGGATTTTGTACGCTCACCGTGGCCGCACGACTCATGACAATCCTTACCCTGGACCTGCCCAAGTATCAAATGACTTTGCAAAACCTCGCAAGTAAACGTCCAGTGACATGCTATGTCGTTGCAATCCCTCTACTTCAATCTCATATATCTGAGCACTGGACTAATGTTATAGCATCTTCCTTAAATGTCCCACCGAAAACTCCTATACATCCCCGCTTAGGTCCACCCGCAACCTAACTTTGACCCCTGACTGATGTAACAGTGTGATTCTTTCATGCAATTGGGCATGAAGACATCTTCCATTTCTAAGGTCCGCACTCTGTTGAAGAAGACCGTTTCTTAATAAGGTTTGGAAAGGGAATGGATCTGGCCTACCCTAAACCCTAAACCCTAAACCGTGGAGAAAGACTTTTGGGGCTATTTCAAAATGGTCCCTACGACATGGTGACATGGCGCCCCTGGAGACGTCTGGAAATCTCTTGTACCCGAAAACAACTAGGGTTTAGGGTTTAGGGTACGCGGAACTACGGAATAGCCTTTCAACAGAAGTTTAGGGGTTAAGTTTGCTACGATGTTTTTTGCAATGTTCCCTCCTCCTGAACTTTTGAGGTAAGGTGACCGATGTTTTGGCTTGTACGGCACATGCCTTCTGGGTGCTCCCTTCCTTTAAAGTACTCCTTTGATCACCTTCAGAATGAACAATGCCCACCCTCTTTGCGAGCAAATGATCAACTGGTCGAAACAGCATGTCCGTTTGTGGGGGATACTTCCTGAACATCTTCCATAGGCTATCATGACCCCCCTTCCAACAACTAGCCAAATCTCATATCGGTTTTGCACGTGTTCCGTTTTTAACGCATTTGTGAAAGCGCTATCTTCATGGTAAATCCAGAAATTCGCCATGTCAAGCTCTAATTCTTCGGGGTTCTTGTTGCCGATCCAATAGCAGTGGGCAAGCTTTGCAAAACAGGCACTTCTTGAACACTAAGCCTAAGCCCTAGACCCTGAACCTACTCCAGTACTGCTTAGAGAAGGCCATCCTAATGCCCTAATGGTCTTCTGGGTTGTAAGAGAGGATAGCCTACTCTATGAGCTAGTCTAAACTGACTCCTCGTATCCCCCTTAATATAACGCCTATAGTAGTACCCTATTGAATCCTCTACATACCCCCCTTTAAGGAGTTTAGACTACAGCTCATATATTCTACTCGTGGACTTTCCCATGCGATCTAGGAAGCCAAGGGATACCTACCTCAAGTGAAACTCAAGTCTTCATTCCTCAGATAGCTTCTAATGCGAGAGAAACATTTCTTAAAACAAAAAGTGTAACGAGAGTAACTTCTGGGAAGCACTGGGGGACATCTGCCCTAGACCCTGAGCGCTAAAGCCGAAACCCTCCAAGTTGAAGTCAACCTCGCTACTTTGACACTTTTAGGAGCCAGGTGTTCCTCATGCGCCTATTGTCAAGGGTGTAGGTCTTAGTACCGATACTGTGGATATTAACCCAAACCACATTACTAATTGCTAGTAACTAGTATAGAAGCCGGACGATTTTTGACATAGATCTTTAGGATTCTTTAGGTTAGTACTCTTACTATTGTTGTGCTTTCTGTCTTAAGAAATAATACCTAGGCCGACCAACTACTCTCTATTCAGGCCTGAGTAGCATGTTTAGGGGCACTGTAACCCCAATTAAAGGTAATAGGAGGGCTGCCTCGAGTTATAACTACTACTATGCATCTGACTCCTGACCCGGAGGAACCTCCGTGTCTATGCAGCACAAGTATTAATCTTTGCGGGCTTCACAGGTTTTAAGAAAACTGAGTATCTAGCAGGTATCAAGTAAGGCTTCTATACTAGGAATTGCTTGGCATCCCCTATGTAGGTACTTGGGATCCTTAGGATAACCCTAGCACTAGTGTAAATTTGGGTTCGGCGGTTCGGCAGTGTTTTATATGAGATTTATATAGGGGCTATACAGGAATAGCGCTAGAGTATCATGAATGAGATGCTTTTTGTAGGCCTGACCCATATACTAAGAACCCTAAGCGAACCATGCCACAGCTGTCATCGCCATAGGTATTTTTGATGTGGTTGGGTAAGAACGCCTCCTTGCTACTGAGTCCTAAGCCCTAGATCCTAAAGCCTAAATCGTGCACAAGCCAAAGCCACATCACAAAGCCGACGCCCTCACCTGGAAAGCCTAGTCACCTAAAAGCATCCAAACAAAAGAAACTAAACTCCAAACCCTAAAGAACGTATTTATGTTTGCTGGTTGTTAGTAGGGGATAAGAGATTACAATCCCTATTCACCCCTAGGTAGTATACTCCCTTAGTCCCTACCAAGTATGAGCTAGTATAAATTAAAGGCACGTCTGCGTGCTCCGGCCGTGTATCCCAGATGCTGAACCGTTCAAGCATAAACTCTCATCCGCAAACTGCAAACACCAGATCCACCCCCTTGGTATCCTTAATAAGCCATGCCCGGTTTAAGGCTTAGGGTATACCCCACCAAACTTCTCTAGCCTAAAGCCCTGAATCGTTAATCCTCAGCAGTACACCTTCAACCCTCAATGCCAGCCCAAAACCCGAAACCCCAAAACCTTAAACCCGACACCTCAGCTCTAAACCCTAGTCCCTAAACCTGAGCCCTACGCCCTAAACCTAAACTCGAAACCCTAAATCCCAAACCTGCCTTCAGAAAGTAGTGCAGTTCAAGCTCAGGAGGACAACTTGGCACCTGCAGAGAGCCAAGCAGCCAGTGCCAGGGTTCAGGGTTTCAGGGTGGAGGGTCTCAGGGTTTTTGGATTTAAGGTTTTGGGGTTTAGGGTGTGGGGCCTAGGGTTTTGGAGTTTTGGGGTTGTAGAATTTGAGGGCTTTAGGGTTTAGGGGTTGGGCTAAGGAACCAGGGATTATGCTCCTTACTTGCCGTTAGCTTAGGAAACCCTAAGCACTTAAGTTTTAGGATTAATGGCTCAGGTTTGCAAGACTAAGCCCTAGGGTTAAGGCAGAAATACAGATACTCAATAATGCTTCACATAAATTACGCTCAGCAAGGTTTTGCGTGGCAGTTGCTGCCCAGCGTACCCTGAAACCCAACGCCCCTAAACAATGAATCCCCAATCCAACCCCTATAGGCCGGGAACTGCAAGCATGAAGCTACATAACCCTGAACCACCCTGAAGCCTGCACTCTGAAGACAAACCAATGGCAAAGGCCTTGAGCTTCAGGCAGCCTTCCAAAGGACCCTCGTTCACCTGCTGAAGAAAGGAATTAGGGTGTAGGGTACAAATACCCAAATATTGGGTTATTACACAGGTACCCAAGAGCCTTGTTATTTGGGTACTGGGACCTCTAGAGGGAGTCTTTTTAGTTACGTTATGATGACTCTTATGGTTATTATTGCAGAATGTTCAGGGTTCTAGGGTTTGGGGAGTTCCTTTTTGTGTGATGACTATTACTGTCACTACTACACAGGGTTTGGGCTTCTAGGGTTCAGGGTTCCATTATTTTATACATATCAGGCCTTTCGATGCCTTCCTCAGGCTTAGGGTTTCAAGTTCACGGTTTAGGGTTTGACCCTAAACCCTAAGCCCCTAAACCCCAAACCCTAAACCCTGAACCCTATAAACCCTAAACCCTAAACGCTAAGGGATGCGAGGTCTTTGGGTTCGGAGTTCGCTCCGCGGACCCGGGACATCCCAAATGCGTAAGCCAGGGTAGGTTTGGGTTTAGGGGTCTCGGGTTTAGGGTTCAGGGGTCGCATATAAAAATCAAACTTTTATGGCGATATAAGGATTATATAGGGATCAAGGTAGTACAACTCAAAACATATTTTCACACCTACCCCGGTAGGATAGGAATAAACTACCCTCCCCACAAATGGAAACCCATTTAGCCCCTTTTGGAGTAACCCAAGCCCGTACTGAACTGTGTACTACTTTGTCTTCGTAAGGCCCTAAACCCTAAACCCTAAACCGTATAAACCCTAAACCCTAAGCCCTCTTTTGGGGTATCATGTTGGTATAGGGGGAGGGTGTGGGATCCACCTTCAGATCCTGCGGTGTCGATGGTGGGACAAGGTGTCAGGCTCTTTCTCAAGGGTAAACCATTACTCAGGGGCTCGTATGTAGTTCTTTTTTTGGGGCATGTTATGGTTTTTGGGCAAGGGATTGAAACATATTACCCGAAAATGATCTACATAGGAGGGTCAGGGAACTTTACCCACTTGTAGGGTCCAGGTATCGCCTCAACATGATGCAATCCTTGTTTGGCAGTATTCTATGACAGTACTACTGCTTCTAAGGAGGTAAACCTACCGGCCTGTTTGACACCTTGTGGCCAGCGGCCAGCGGCTGTAGCTTAAGCTGATTTAAAAAAGCGTCCGGCAAGCCAATCCGTTATCCTCAGGGCCTTAATTCAAAACCAAGAGAAACCTTGAAGTGAGCCAAAGACTCCAAACCCCACCCCATAGTCCCCCTTAAGTAGATAGGATATGAGGAATATGTGGATCATATTATAATATACCCGAAGCCATATTCTATGTTAAGGGGGACTATACACCCTTGAAAGGCTCCAGTCCCCAATTGTAGAAGTCCTGAACTGCTACACCAGGAAAAGCTGTGAGAAACTCTTTCTTGACCCTGTAGCCTCTACCCTGCGCCCCATGTCGCAGTTAGGGTTTAGGGTTTAGGGTTCAGGATTTAACCCCCCTAAGCGGGCCTTTTTGCTGTAGAGCTCGCGCTGGCGCTTGCTGCGAGGGCCCTGAATGGGGCTCCATGATAAGTTGGCAAGGCTTAGGAGCTTTGGGGGTTGCAGTTCAGGGTTTCGGGTTTAGGTTTCGATCCACGCTTAGATGTGAATACAACACAGGTTTCTATACAACGGATGGGA